TGCACATAAAATAATTTATCTAACGGCGTTATAATCTTTCTGCCTAAAAATAACTCAGCAGGAGTTTTGCCCGTTGTATCATGTTTTGCGGTCCTAAGGGCGAAAGCAAATTCATTGACATAGTTATCCCAGCTTTTATGAAAATTTTTAACATAACTACGGATAATTTTCACTATATTTCTATTGACCCGTTCCGCTATATTTGATTGCGGCCGATACGGGACCATTTTTAAATGACGTATGCCCAGTTTTTGGCACATGTCTTCAAATACATTACTTACAAATTGAGGACCATTATCCGATATAACTTTTAGGGGCGCCCCGTATTTTAAAATATATTTATTTAAAATAGAATCAGTAACTAATTTCGCGGAGGCTCGTTTTAAGGGAACAATTTCGGTCCACTTACTAAAATGATCAACCATAACAAGGAGATAGCGACTTTTATTTAACTGACTTTTTGGGAAAGGGCCCAATAAATCGATGCCAATTATTTCATTTGGAAATTCGGATTTAATACTATTTAGAAACCCGGCCGGGCGGAAATTAATATAATTAACTGCTTGACATGTTGGGCAGGACTGGACATACGCCCTTGTTAACTTTTGCAGTTCAGGAAAATAGACTGCCTCGCGTACGCGTTGGATAGTTTTTCGAATACCAGCATGAGAAGCTAAAGGGCTGTCATGGAGCTCCTGCAGGATATTTAATCTAAGACTAGCTGGGATAACAGGTCGAAATTCGTTGTTGGAATTCGTAGTTTTTGTATAAAATAATAGACCATCTATTAGTTCGTAATGGGCCGCCCTATTTCTTATCGCCACAATATCTTGGTGGCTAAAATTTTCAGGATCCTTTAAATACTCATAAATGCTTCCAAACTCAGGATCCTTACCCAGTTCGGTTATTACAGTTTCTCGGGAATTTATTGTACATGCTGTGAGCATTGCCACCTTTACGGTATTACCTTCTTCATCTATTTTAATTCTGGATAGGGCATCTGCTACGATATTTTCCTTTCCGGGGGTATGCTTGATTACCAGATTATATTCTTGTAGCTTGAGTGCCCATCTTATTAACCTTGGGGATATAAGTTTTTCCCTGAGTACAATCTAGTTACCGCCGCATGATCAGAGTACACTGTTATTGGCGCCTTTCCAAAATAGACTCGGAACTTTTGCACTGCTAACAGAACTGCAAGTGCCTCTCTCTCGGTCGCGGAATAGTTTCTTTGTGTTTGATTTAAAGTTCGGCTAAAAAATGCCACGGGCTGCTGATTTTGCGAAAGTACCGCTCCTACCGCATAATCCGAAGCATCCGCTGAAATTTCTAAATTCTCATCCTTTTCAGGAAATTTCAACACAGGGGCTTGCGTTAATGCTTGTTTTAATTTTTCGAAAGCACTATTGGCTTCGGCCGTCCACGAGAATCTTGCCTTTTTCCTTTTTAATTTTAACAATGGTTCAGCAATAGCTGCAAAATCTTTTATAAAGGACCTATAATATGAACAAAGTCCTAGAAAAGAAGAGAGCTTCTTTGCCGTGTTTGGAGTCGGATACTTTTGTACAGCGATTATTTTTGATTCGTCTGTCTCGATTCCTTTCTGAGATATTTTGTAACCTAAATATTTTAATTCAGGGGCTGCAAATTTGCACTTTTCGACATTAACTTTTAGACCGGCCTCATTTAATAAAGAAAACACCTGTCTTAAATCCTGTACATGTTGGTCGAGATTATCACTAGTAATAATGATATCGTCTAAATAGATAAATGTGGACTTTCCAAGAACAGGTCCTTAACACAATGTCCATACATCGCTGAAATGTTGCCGGTGCCCCTGAAAGGCCAAACGGCATACGCAAAAATGCATAATAAGTGCCAGACTTGGTTATAAAAGCAGTCTTAGGCACGTCCTCAGGCCTAACCCCTATTTGAAAATAACCAGTCGTTAAGTCTAAAGTCGTCATATATTTGGTGGATGTTATGTTCCTTAGAATTTCTTCAATAATAGGTAACGGATATACCGGATATTTAGTTATGGAGTTTAATTTACGGTAGTCAATTGCGAATCTCCACCTTTTTGGATGTGTCAAAGGATAGTCATTATTTTTCTTACATAAAACCACCGGGCTAGCATAACTACTTGAGATGGGCGTTATGATCTTTTTACGTAGCATATCGGTGATATGCCATTCTATAATTTTTTCCTTATTCTTATCATACCGGTATGCTTTGTGGCGAACTGGCATTGAATCTCCGGTGTCAATACTATGGTTAGTAACCTGAGTAAATCCTGGAATATCACTAAATAACGAAGCAAATTCACTTACCACTTGTCGGATTCTTCCTTGCTCGTCATTAGGCAGGTGGTCAAGATTTAACATCGGCGGTTCAGCCTTTTCTCCACGAACTGGTTTTATTGTCAGCTTAAGGGACGCTTTATTAAAATCCAGCGTTGCTTGTGCCTCTGAAAGAAAATCTATTCCTAAAATAATATGTGCTTGCAGATTCTTTACTATGAAAAACATAACCTTTACTTGTTCGTCCTTGATACGGACATACAGCGGTAATTTACCTATACACTTACATTTTTCTCCTTGCGCCGCTAACACTGTCGTATTATCCGAATTACATATGCGGTATTTCCGAAAATACTTCCTAAAAAAAATCTTCTGCCACACAGGAACACTGCGCGCCTGTATCCAGGAGTGCGGTGGCTGGGATATTATTCACCAACACTTCAATCTTCGGAAGAGTCAAATTTTTCACCATTACTGTATTTAACTTGAAGGAAGAGGGGTTTTCGTGGCCTTCGGATTTCCGCACCCTCCCGTCAGCAGAAATCCGTTTTAGTTTAAATCCTTTTTCATTTCCGTGCTTTCCTTCTTTTTCCACTGGCCTTGAGACTTTTTTCCTGGATTGCTATTGAACTGTCGACGTTCGCCGGCTGTTTTTGAATGCTCGGGTTTCCTTGCCCACTGATTCGCTTTGCTTCCGTAGCCGTGTGCTTGAGTTTGCTGTAGTCTTGGCGCACCAAATTGGTTTCGCTGTTGATATTGGCGTCTTCTTTCAATGTCCGCCGTTCTTCTACTTTCAAACTGGATTGCTAGCTCAAATAACTTTTCCAGTGTAGTCGGATTTCTTAATTCAATAAAGTCTTGCACTTGGGGCAGTAACCTCGGCAAAATCACTTGAATTATCTCAGGATCCGGACGGTTTCCATACAAGAGTTTGAAGACGTGAATTTTTCTTAAAATAAAGCTTGAGAGATTTTCGATTCTTTGCTGATATATACTGAAAAGTTCCGTTTCTAATTTCGCACGATCCCTTACAACAGGGAAGGCTTTTACTAGGGCAGTCTTGAAATTCTCGTAAGTATAGGTGGGACTTCCTGCTTGACCCAAGAGACTTCTGCCTATACATTTGAACCAGTTAAGCGCTTGGCCCCTCAAAGCGCTGGTAGCTAAGGTAACTTTTTGAAATTCGTGCACGGGGTAGAGCATGAAGTGGTCATCCAATTTTTCCAAAAAACTGGTTACCGGTGAGTTTCCATTAAATGTTGCTTCTGGTTTCATCGAAGCGCGCATGGTCTGGACGATGTAACCAAATCCTTCCAGGGCGGCAGCTGGCATTTCTGGATTCTGAGCCGCTTCTGCAGGCAGCACAGGTTCTTCTTGAAACTCGGCCATGGTTATTCTTCTTCGTTGGGCGCCACTATCAGGTTCAATGTTCCGTCTTACTTTCTTCGGGAACATGCAAGGACCTGACTCGGAACAGAGAGCTTACTAAAGCTATGTTCAATAACTGTGGGAAGTAGACAGGATACACAAGAAGGGTATACAAAACCCTTTATTTTCCTCTATTTACAATAACTTCCGTACTTCGGAATACAAAGACCCACTACTTGTGGTCTAAACGTAAAAGTATAAAAAATAAAACTAAACTCTTAACTTTGAAATAATAAACGTGGAAGATTGGCCTTATATTAACAGGAAGCCGTATGTAGTACAGAGAACTGTTAACACTACAATACGTTTAAAAAGTTATCAAGAGGATTAAACCTCTGGCCTGGAAGGCAACCAGCAACTGAGTAAAACTTCTAAGGTAAGCGGCCTGCTTCGACTAACTGCTTCCTCTCTCTCGCTTGGCAAAAAGCCACAACTTAAGTACTTGGCGTTCGCCAGACAAACTTTGCATAAATACGTTAACGCTTATAATTCTGGCCAGAAGTAGAAAATAAGAAGTGATAGTAGAGATTTAAAATAAAATAAACGTTAGTAAAACTTAAAATCCTTACAAGTTAAGCTTTTACTTTTAAAGGATGACTGCATGAAGCATTTTTCCGTCATCTGATTTCAGAAATGTGCTTCTTTTTTACTTAAATTACTTTGCTTGGAATATATGTTAAGGGAAAACTGTTATGCAATGAAAATTTAGAAAATGTTCAGAATTTTGATTTTAAGTTAAATTATTTAAATATTAATATCAGTGGAAAAATAAATTGTATTTATTATTAGGTGCCAAATGAATACAATTAATATGGCTTATTATTATTTATTTTCTATATTTTGAACTGAAATTTCAGTGCTCATTCTCTTAATAAATATTGCATTGCTCATATTTTAAATTACAAGTCTAATTTTTCTTTTAAGGTTATGCAGTTGTATATAATGTAATTAGACAGGTGCTTATTTTTTCCTTAAAATGTGCTTGAAAAGTGCTTATAGGTGCTTATTTTTTTAACTAAAATGTAGCTACGAACCCTGTTTTGATTTTTCTTGTTTAATGAAAAAAGAAGTATGACTGACCTGCATTTCATTTTCTTCTGTATTGATGTATATGAGGATTTTGACTCATTGAAATAAGTTATGTTAATGTATGTGATTATAGAATATTAATTTAGATTTCATATGTTTCTTCTAAACTTTTTCATAGCATTTAATTTGTATAGGCACTTTATTTAGATAATCATAGAGGGTGTATTCTTTATATTCTTGCAGATAATGAGTGAATTGGTAAGCAATGGAGTCCAGATTTATCAGTTTCCTACTGATGATGATACAATAGCAGAAATCAACTCAGCAATGAATGTAAGAATTTGTTCTGCTTGTAAAGTTGCTCTTTTGATTTCATCAACAGCCATAAAATAATAAATTGGAAAAGTACACTATCTCATAGCAAAATTCATTAGAATATAGTGAATTACTAAACAGTCATCCCAAACTTTAAACTTTTATAAAGGAACATGATTAATCTGAAGCAGCATGGTTCAAATAGTCAAAATCATTTAAAAAGGTGTTACTTAAAAAAAAAAAAAAAAGAATCTTTATATTCTTTGCAAACCAATGTTTAGAGCTCATATAAAAAATATTTGCTGCAAATTTTCTTAATTTAGAAAAAGAGCTAAAGTTAGGTTGTTTGTCATACTGACATCAGATGCAATATGTAAAACTACAAAAATTACTTTTCTATTTAAAGTCAGTATTATTCTATTTATGCATTTTTTTAATAGGACTGATATGGCATTATTGCAGATTAAACTGTATTACATCTCAGTAGAAGAGTTTAAACCTAACAAATTCCCAACTGCAAATTTTCCGGCTGGCAAAAAAATTTGAAAATAAAAAAGCTGTTGTTACTGCTCGAAAAAATGTATAGAATGTATTAGTGAAGCAGAATGCAAAACAATTTTTGATCAGTTTTGCAATATGCACAATTTTGATAAGAAAAACATATTTCTATATGGAAGTGTTCATTGATGCACTGTGAAAAAGTCAAAGTATTTGGGAACTTTGAGGACTGTACTCATAAATTTTACTTGAGCGCTCAACGTGGAATCATTTTAGTATGTAAGAAATTTTTATTAATACTTATATGTCTACAGGTCCATATCTTAAAAGCAAACAGTATTCCAAAAGATGTGTTGTGGGAGAATGGTGGCTCTTGCAGAACTGGTGAACAAGTGATAAATACTATGAGAGAACAACATAAGAAGTTTTCGCAATTTGAGTCATTACACTTGATCTCAAAATCCAGAATGAAAGTATTTGAACCATGAATTAAATTTAAGAAAATATGTTTAATTTATGCTTAGAAAAATGTGAAGAAATAGGTCTTCAGTTAATGAATGGACATACACGAAAAACTTTAAAAGAGATTTCAAATTGCATTTTAATTTAGCCACATGAAGACAAATGTGAAAGACATGAAAATATAAAATATGTGAATATGAAAATTCAGACAACAAACAATGACGAAGAAAAAGCGACTTTTATATAAAGACATGAGGTTCACCTAAAAATGCCAAATTAGCAAGAAAAGTTTTACAAGAAGATAAAATTTTAGCATCAGAAAATCCAGATAGATGCTTTGCCTTTTCTTTTTATTTCCAGAAAGCCCTACCATATCCAAAATTATCCGTTTTGATTGCATATTATATTGAAATATGTATGTATTAAATGAAGGATTTCATAATTTCAACGCTGGTAAAGTTTCTCTGTATGTGTAGGACGAAATTGCTGCTTCTAAGGGATCTTAGGAAATAGTGTCTTGCTGCTTGAGACATTTACAAAATGTAATGACTCAAAATCATGTTATAGCATACAATGATATGTCCAGTGGGCATAATCGGAATGTATAAATTGCTTTGATGTGGTTAAGAGTTGTCCAAACCTCGAGAAAGTAACATTGAGATCATCGATCACAAATTTTTACTTTCTGAACATCTGTCTATAATACCAAAATCTGCCAAACGATGCAGATTTTGGTATTATAGAAATCACATTATGAAAAAAGAATTTCTTGTACATTCCTGAGGATTATTATGAAATTATAAAATAATGTTAACGAAATCATAAATTTAATTTGTATGAAATGAAACGTGAATAATACATATCAACAAAATATCTAGGAAATTCAATTCAAAGAAAGAAAAGGAGAAAAAGTAAACTGTCTGAAAATATGTTGGATGAGGTTTTTTTAAAAGTGCAGACTATTTTATATAAAACATCAATAGAGGACACAGAAATTAAGATTTTAGGTTTATCACCAACCGATCAAGGAAGACTCAAAATTTGGAAAAATTACATTAATGCCTTTGTATAAAGTTGTTTAACCTATTATATATGAAACATAAAAGGCTATTATAATGCAGTTATTGTCTTATATACCTCCTGTGCATCATGAATATTTCAGAAAACTTCCACGTAATGAGCCTAAATGAAAAACAGTATCTTAAGATTAAGCTTTCAATAATGATACGTATCACTAAACAGTTTAACAATAAGTAAATCTTTTTAATGTTGAAAATAATAAGCAGTATTTTATTTTTTGTTATTTTTTATAAATAAAATATGGCTAAAGCATATTGTATTTCAAGTAAAATTAAATTTTTGATTATTGAAATTAAATAATTTTTTACAGTTCAATAATTATAAAAGTGATTAAGTACATTTTCGATCCAAAAAGAATATGTTATTTTAGTTAAATTCAAATAAAAGTTATTTGTGCAATCAAATTACATATTTCTAAATTCATTGAAACATTGCCAAACATAGTATAATTTATTTATATTTTTAATTGACTAAAATGCTAACCTTTAAATATCTGAAAAGAAGAAAAAATGGACTACACCACTTATTTTTAGACGAGCTGGGTTCTCATCAAGTGTGATTAAGGATTCTGTGGTAATAACAACTTCATAATCATGATCTGTAATTATTGCATTCTATGATCAATTTATGTCTGATGATGTGTAATAAATTAGTAATGCATACACTACCCATTGGCGCATTTATGAATGTCATTTTACAATATTTAGAGGCTGTTGTGCATCTTCTTTGTTCTTGACCATTTCATTCATCTGGCTTCATTGCAAATTTCATAATTTTCGTAATTTTTTATTATAAGCACTACAGATGCTATTATTTAAACTGACAGATTTCACTTTACTAGAAATAGACCTAAATTGTGCAGTCTGGACCCTTCAATGCTGAAATAAAAGAACATTCATTTTTCTTTGATTTTGTATATCTTTAAGCTATTTAAATGTTCTGATCGACTCTTTGAAAATCTGAGTTATTTAACAGCTTATTTTTCATCTTCAACAATTTATCTTGAGCAAATTCTGATGTTGTTGATTGGCAGATTATTGTTGTGGCCATTAAATGATTAAAATGTAGAACATTTTTAATTCTAGTAAACTAGCTGCTATTACGATATATTTTATGTAAATATTATCGGTTTTTTATAACATTCCCTGATCTGTTGGCAAAAAATAAAACTCCAAGATGTATAATGCATGTTCATAATGTTCATAAATGCAATGAGCTACTTCTGCACCAGCATCTTGATAACTGCAAAAATTAAAGCAGTTCTTCAAGAAAGTAGTTAATTTTAATAAAATTACTAAGTGATGTATAGCACTCAATATCACAGCTTAAAAAGAAACTTAACACTCCGAAATTCTCTCTCTTTTCTCCAAGCTGTGTGTCTTTTCAATTCATCTGAGTAATAGTATTATTTGAGGCGCAGTGGCTAGCACATCGCGCAGCAGCACCATGGGTCCGGAGTTCAAACCCCGGGCTGGGCAAAGTCGACTCAGCCTTTCAATCCTTGATTTTCATCCCTTGGGTCGATAAAATGAGTACCAAGTTCATGTGGGGACTAAGCACTGGGGGGCCTGGACAAGCTGACCAGTTGTTCAGGGCATATGCTTATGCACCCGGGGCCCATGGTCAAGAAAGCAGATTTTGGGGCACTGTAGGCCTTGGCCCATCAGGGCTGTTTGCGCCACTGAGTTTAGTTTAATAGTACAGTGAAATACCGAAAATCCGCCAACTCCTGAAATCTGTGTTGCCTCTCAAAACATAAACATTCAGTTTATAGGTTCCAGAAACTGCAACATTGAGTACAAAATATCGAAGGAAAAATACTTACCGAATAATGACGTTATAATTACCGAATAATAATGAGTTATAACGGGAATACCAAATTATTTACATAAAAAAGTAAAAAAATAAGATAAAATAAATAAGATAAAAGTCCCCCCCCTTCTAATCTGCATCAAGGTAAAAAAGCAGACGATTCACTCAACTCTTCGTTCAAATTCACGATTCACGTTGTTATATTATCTGAGCTTTCTTATTTCACGAGATTGTTTAGTGCTGCCTTTTTTTATCCGGATACTTTGTGGATAAATTAAGAATATTTTAAATTTCAGCCCTTTTTAATACAATGACAAATAAGAAACACACTCATGATTTTACTGCTTGCAATGTTGAAAAACGTAAACATGTTGCATTGACAGTAACGCAAAAAGTGCAAATCCTGCAAAAGATGGAAGCAGGTGCTACTCCTCGATTTATAGCAGAATGGTATGGAATTGGGACGCGATTGTGTATACAGAAAAATAAAGAAAAGCTGTTGAAATTTTACAGCAACAATGATTTTAACACTGGAATCCGAAGCCGGAAATCTTTGCATGAAGCGAATTCGGCAAACCTCAAGGCTGAGTACAACGAATAATGTAATCAATTTATATATGTAATAATAATTTAATGCATATAATAAATTATTCAATAATGTATATAATAATTTAATTAATTGTATCTAATACGCCTTATTTATTTTCCACTTTTAGTCCGAATATTATGCTTTATTTTTTCTGTCCTGAAATCCGCAAAATCCTAAGATCCGCACAACCTCTGGTCGCAAGCTTTGCGGATTTCTGGTACTACTGTATTATATGTGCACTGAAAATGTTTTGGTATTTATTAATGACAATATGTGCTGTCACAAAAATACAAACAATGTCAAAAAAATACGAAATTTTGGTTTTTATATAGACATAAGCACTGAGCTTCCAAATGAGTGCTTTATTCAATAACTAATTGTGAAAGCTGGACTTACTGATCATTTTAAACCAGCAAATTATACCGACTTTTTCCAAATAAAATACGGTTCAGTAGTGGTGAAATGAGTAAGTCCACCGAACACTTGATATAAATCCTAATCACTAAGCTGGCTGCATATCTGTTTTTATTGTTTTCCCTACACATTATGTAAATATGGATTATTTTCCATGGAAAGT